CAATTCATACATGTACTTTGTATAATGATGTCCATCCCAATTCACCATCATTGCTAACTCCCGCCCCCTCCCTTCCCCTCCTTCCCCTCTGCTTTATCTAGAGCTTGTCTATTCCTCACATTCTCCCTCTCCTTACCTCACTATGCAAACGTTGTATTTTAAACTGGCTTTAAAGCCTAGTCTGTTTTTAAGATACCGGAGGATTTCCATTATTTCTGTTGACTGTTATTTGCCACTTAATTCTATTAGGCTTTAGAACTAGTTAGAAGGTGAAATTATGTTACATGTACAATCCTGAGATGAAAGGGACCTGCAGCAAGGATTATACTTAATCTGTTTGACCTAAGAGGCTAATTTTCTGTTTTGTTTGCTTAAGTGAATAGAATGGGGCATTATATAATTTTGATTTATATACCCAAAGCTGTGTGCCCTGGCTAAAATTGTTAAGCTAAATTTGCTTTTGTTGACTAATATCTTCTTTTAATATTTTCCTCATCTTTAGCAATCTCATGGTTTTTGTCATATTTGTCACTCCTGCTTTACTAATGAGAAAGGTACTCTAATTAACTAATTTACACTAACAATGCATGGTAATGGTCAGTGGTAGATAGTATTGACATACAGTTACATGCTGAACAATGACATTTTGATCAACAATGGACACATACTACTATTGTAGTCTCATAAGATTATAACAGAGCCAAAAAATTGCTATTGCCAAAAGACATCATAGCATTTATAATGTTTTAGAATAATGCATTCCATATTTGTGGCGATGCTGTTGTAAAAAAGCCTACTGCACTGTTTGTCCTATAAAAGTATAGCCTGTACACTTATGTATTGTACATAATACTGGATTATGATAATGACTATTACCGATTTACACATTTACTATACTGTAATCATTACCTTAAGGCGTGTGCTTTGTATTTAGATATAAAAAAAGGTATGCTGTAGAACTGTCATGTGAGCAGCAGCCTCACGCATCTTGGGTTTATAGTGTCACTTTCTCTTGGGTTTAATTTAGTCTTGTTCTGATCATGAAAATCACTGCTAATTTTTCCAGTCAGAGGTCACATTGAGTGATTAACTTGGAAGCAAACTTAAAGGTGATTCAGGACTTAAAAGGTGGAAAATTATTGGTGATTATTGCTCATCAGTCAGGCATGTACCATTCCACCATAGCTATGATCTTGAAGAAAAGACAATGTGATAAAAGCTGCTAAAGGACCTACTTCATTGAAGGCAACGAGACGAACCAAAATTTGAGAAGGCCTACGTTAGATATGGAGAAACTTCTAATGACCTGGCACAGAAGCATTTCCTTCTCTGCACCCTGACAGTCCTGCCAGAGCAAGTTTGTTTACTATGTTGAAAGAAAAGGACCCAGCTACACTGTTGATTTATTGCTAGCTTGGGGTGGTTTAAGTGATTGAAGAATCTTTCTCCATTACATAATGTGATGGTGAATGGTGAATGTGTGAGATCTTATGTGAGGCAGCTGACGGACTTTTGGATATGCTAGATGAGCTTATTGTGGAGGAAAATTATTTGCCAGAACAAATCTTCAATATGAATGAAACCTCCCTGGAAACAGATGCCTGAGAGGACTTTGATCCTTAAGGAAGGTGAATCAGTGCCAGGTTTAAGACTTTTAAGAACAAGATAACAGCAGGGGCCAGTGTTGCAGGCTTCAAATTGAAACCCATTATGACCTGGCACAGTGAGAGACGCTCAGGGCTTTCAAGCATATTGATAAGTTCACACTGCAGTGTGCTCCTGTAGGAGCAGTAGTCAGTCGTGGGTGACCCACTTCCTCTTCCAGGGTGCCTTCTTGAATTACTGTGGCAGTGAAATAGAGAACTACTGTCTGGAGTTAATATACCTTTCAAGATTTTGCTTATTCTTGATAATGGTGTCATATATCTAATGACCTGGCACAGAAGTGAATCCCTCATCAGCACCCTGACAGTCCTAGTGAATTTCATAATATCAAAATGTTATTGGTGAATTTCTTAATATCAAAATAGTCTTTCTCCCTTCAGACCACCTCTTTGCTCCAATCAGTAAATCAAGAAATTGGAGCAGTTTTTAAGATGTAATACCTGAGGACCTTTATCCTGGTTATCGCAACTTAGGGAGACACTGATGTAATTCCGGAAGGGTTACATCTGTCGCCGTATCAAGAACCTTGCTTGGTCTTGGGGTGATGTCCCCAAGAGGGAATGGCATCATTTGGAATAAGACACTCTAAAAGTTTTTTCATGGCTTCAAAGGATTTGCCATAGGTGAAGAGGTTGTAAAATCAACATGACTGTGGTTGAGATGTTGTATTAATCAGCTTTCTATTGCTGTGACGAAATATCTGAGAAAATCAACTTGGAGGAAAGATTTATGTTGGTTGCTGGTTTCAGAGGTTTGAGTTTGTGGTAGGCTGGCTTCATTGCTGTGGGCCTGTAGTGAGGCAGCATGGCAGAGAGGACATATGGAGCAGAGCTGCCCACCTCATGGTGACTGGAAGACACACACACACACACACATTCAGGGACATGATTTGTTTTGTCCCAAGGATCTATACCCTTCAGCCAGGTCTCACCTCCCAGTAATGCCATCAAATTATAATCCCTCAATGGATTGATCACTGATGAGGCTGGGCCATCGTGATCCAATCACTTCTAAAAGCCTCAACTCTGAACATGGCTGCATTGTGGACCAAGCCTTCAGCACATGAACTTTTGTCAGATGATTTTACCCAGGTGTGTATTGAGGAGTTCCTAGAGGTTATTCCTGAGAAATTGATTAATAAAGAATTATTAGAACCCCAACAGGAACACAGAGCCAAAGAAGCAAGATTAAAGGAAACTGTATAAGAAAAAGAATCCCCAGGAAATTCACAGAGAAGGGTTTAGTAGAAGCTTTTGTAGACCTCGATAAACACCCTAAAAATTTTAAAAACGTGGACTCCACTATTGAAGGTTTTTATTAGAAGCTTTTATGGTATATAATCTACCTAAGAACAGATCTATGATAAGAAAAAACAACCACAACCAAGCAAACCACAGTGGACACATTTCTGGGAAAAGAGACTTCAGGAAGACCTCAGGCTGGTCCTTCAGAAGGGATCCAGAAGAAGGTTCTGCCTTCCTAGGAGACAGACAACAGTGCTACTGCCCTGAAGACCTTCCATGGGCAAGATGTGGAGGTGGAAGGCATGGTCCTGGTGACTGACTTGTGTAGCCTCAGTTGAGGTGTCTATGTCTTGTGTCTTAGTTTTTAACAAAAAACATTAAAAATTAAAAAAAAAAAAATAGAAAAAAGCTTATTGGGTAAGGATGTAAAGAAAAATATTTTGTGTAGTTGTACAATGTGGTTGTATTTTTTTCAATTAGAGCATCATAATTTTACATAGTAATTAGATTCATTTTGACAAAATCATGCATGCAAGGAATTTGAATTCCGTTCCCATTTCCCTTCCCTTCCTCCTTTCTCCTATTCTCCCTGCTTTACTCTATTAGACTTCCTTCCTCCTACACATACATAAAGGTGACATTCCCTTTGGTATCTTTATATATGAATATGACATGATTTTGTTAAATTCATTCCATTTATTTTCCCCTTTCCCTTCTTCCTCCCTTACTCTTTTTTTTCTTTCTTAATTAAAATTTATTTGTAGGTAGTGCTGAGAATTGAACACAGTGCCTCACACATGCCAGGCACGCGCTCTATCCCTGAGCTTCCACCCAACCCCTCCTCTTACTCTCGTTCTCCTTCTTCTCCATTGATCTTCCCTCTATCTTTTTATGATATTTGATTTCTTCCTCAACTGCCTTCTTTCCTTTGTTTTGCTTTAATTTCCACATATGAGAGAAAACATATGACCCCTGATTTTTCTGAGTCTGGCTTATTTCCCTAGGCATGGTTTTCTTTAGTTCTGTCCGTTTACCTGTAAATGCCATTATTTCATTCTTTTCGATGGATGAGTAAAACTCTGTTGTATATGTATACCAAAGTGCTTGTATTTTAAGCAAAGTGTTAATGTCAAAAAGTTAGAAAAAGTAAAAAATTGCAATAAGCTAAGGATAATTTATTATTGAAGAAAGAAAACTGTTTTTTACACGTTAGTATAGCCCAAGTTCACGGTGTTATTGAAGTCTGCCATGTGGTGTAAATGAAGTCCCTGGGCTTTCACATTGGCTCACCACCCCCTCCTGCCTCACCCAGAGCAACTCTGAGTTGTAAGCTCCATTCATGGGAAGTGCCCTCCACAGAGGTACTGTTTTTAAAAAATCTTTTATACCATATTTGTACTGTTATTTTTCTGTATTTAGACACATAAATAATTAACCAAAGTGTTGGAATTGCCTTTAGTATTCAGTAGCATGCTGTATAGGTATGTAGCCTGGGAGCAGCAGGCTGTGCCATATAGCCTAGGTGTATAGAAGGTGATCCCATCTAGGTTTGTGTAAGTACACTCTGATATTAGCACAAAACCAAAATCGTCTGACTACGCATTTCTCAAAACATCCTCATGGTTAAATAAGCATGACTTATCATAAAGATGTATTTGCATTTTAAAAGAGACTTGATTAGTATTCTATTTAAAGGGATGAATTGTGAAACTTGAGGCTCTGATTCTGATGAGTAAAATTTTTTTTAGGCAGAGAGGGCCCTTCAAATCACTATGCACCCAATCAGTAATTCCAACTTTTTATAATTATATTTCAGTACCATCCTAAATGTATAAAGCTTACATATTTATTTATTAAAGTATTTTTTATAGTAGATGGACACAATACCTTTATTTTATTTTTATGTGGTACTGAGGATGGACCCCAGTGCCTCACATGTGCTAGGCAAGCACTCTACCAACTGAGCTATAGCCCCAGCCCACATATTTATTTTTTATGAGATGTCCAGTTGCAGTAGACCCTTCTGTGTTTTGTATACTTCTTTGTATAGCATCATGGAGTTGGGAGGAGCATCCCAAAGTCATCAGCCATCATGTCATCTGAGCCATTGGTGAGCACTCAGACTACTTGTGTCATGTTACAAACCGTTAAACACTCCCTGAAACTTCATTTGGATAAAGATGTTATGTCCTGTTCTTCTTCACTTGACTTTTGTTTTGGGATGTCCTTGTGCTGTAGGAAAGAGAAGCAGTCTGTCTGGACAGTTCTTCTGTGTTGGTGTTCACGGAGATCTTTGGGTAAGCTAGCTGTTTACTCATTGGTAAGGAGGGGATAGATGGCTTTGAATTTGGTTACTCTGAACGTACCTCCAGAGAGTTTATCATACAGGTGCACAAATGGGACAGTTGACAAGTTTTCCTCTGAGTGACAAGACTCAGTCCGGCCTGTGGTTAGGCGACATGGAAGCCCGATGGTGATAAGCGCACCGCTGGCAGAACTTCTGGAAAGCCACAGTGATGAAATCCAGGAAATCTGTTTATATGGTGTGCAGATTTGTGGCTTTATTGTATGAGGAATTTGAGTATGATTAATCTTTTTTTTTTTTTCTTATTTTTGTTATACTTGGAGTTAGGTTAACTAAATGTTAACAATTCTCTTTACTACTTTTTTAATTTTAATTTTAATTTTTTTGTGGTGTTGGGAATGGAACCCAGTGCCTCACCCACAAGTGCTCCTAAATATTTTTATTAAATATTGTGTGCTTTAAATAAAATGGATTCATGGTCTCTTCTGAAGCACAGGTTTCCTCTGATTTGTTAGGACTAGTTATAAAAAAATAGCGTATTGGGTTTAGATTTCCCCAGAAGCAAACCCTGAAAAAGTATTTAAGTGCAGGTAGTTTACCTGGGGCATGGTTTTAGAAAGCACTGGTAGGGGAGTGGGGAAGCAGTGCCAGTAAAGGGCATTGCGCTGCAGTCACCACTCAGGGCATCTGCAGCTCGCTCGCACTGGGGGACTCTCAGAGGCCAGATAAAATGTCTGCCTTATCGCCAGCCCAGACAAGGGAGATTGAGTGCCGTGCACTGGCTTCCTGGCCCTCGCTGACACGGACTCTGGCATTGCTGGCTTCTCCTGGGAGTGCGAGCTTAGCACATCTCAGTGGTCAAAAAGCAGCGCTCAGCAGAGTGTTCCTAATGAGCAGTCTCCTGTGCTCAAGGCACAATAGCATTGGCTGCTGTTAGCAAGCCTTTACCGTGTCTGTCATGTGCCAGGCAGTGTTCTAGGTGGCCTATGTGAGCTCATCAAATCCCCATATAAGCTTTAGGAAGTAGGTACTGTTAATGTCCTCATTGTACACATGAGGAAACAGCACAGAGATGTTGGGCATTTTGCCCTCAGTTACACAGCTATAATGCCAACTGCTATTGAACCCAGGTGGTTTGGTATACAGTCCATGCTTTTAATCCAAACAATGTGCTCCTTCTGGAGCAATGGAGTGTGAAGCAGGGCCTTTTGGTTTTACTGTTTTCCTTTACAGCTGCCTCTCTCTTTCCCTTCCTCTGGTCTTCCCTTCTGGTGTTCTTTGCCTTCTTTGTAGAAATCCTCTCCTCCTCCTGTAACACAGGCATGCCTCCTCCCATTCATACACTAAAGGATAGCATGTAAAATATATTTTTTTTTTCAGGCTGGGGATTGAACCAGGGCCTCAGGCATGATAGGCAAGTGCTCCACCACTGAGCTACATCTCCAGCCTTTTTTTAAAAAATTGAGTCAGGGTCTTGCTAAATTGTTCAGGCTGGCCTCTTACTGTGATCCTCCTGCCTCAGCCTCCTGTGTAGCTGTCATAGAGAGTATTTCTATACTAAAATGTTGATTGATTTTTTTTTTTTTCAGGTTATGTAACAAATAACGAAGACTTCTGGGCTTGATAGTGCTCAGTGGTTATTTTCCATTTCTTTTTTTTTCTCATGTAGTGCTGGGGATCAAATCTAGGGCCTCATGCATGCTAGGCAAATGCTCTACCACTGAGTCACATCCCCAGCCCTTCTTTTTTTTTTTTTTTTGACTAGTATTTAAGAACCTAAGAAGATGTGATGGTCGAATGATAGGTAACCAGGTTGATATTTTTGGATTGGGAGATACCTATTCTTTGGCCATGGTTGTAAGGAGAGGCTAAGAGATGTATGCTTGTGTTAAAAACAAAACAAAACAGAACCACAACAACAGCAAAAAAACCTTTCCCATCTGTCTTGTTTTATCCTCCAGCCCTCATGCTCCCTTTTCTTTGTGATTGTAGAACTATCACATGCTATTTGTAAAACAGTTGGACAGTATGTCAAGAATAGAAAGTCCTGCTTCATGACTGCTTCTTTCCACAAAGTCTCTTCCCTCTGTTTCTCCCAAAGGTGACTCTTGCTTAGCTTTGCTAATGTTTTTGTAGTTTAAAAGAATCATATCTGGTGTGGAGGCACATGCCTGTAATCCCAATGGCTCCAGAGAATGAGGCAGGAGGATTAGGAGTTCAAAGCTAGCTTCAGCAAAAATGAGGTGCTAAGCAACTCAGTGAGACCCTGTCTTTAAATAAAATTCAGAATAGGGCTGGGGATGTGGCTCAGTGGTCAAGTGCCCCAGAGTTCAATCCCCAGTAAATCCTGCCCCTCTCCAAAGAGACTTATATCTGTGTATCTGTAACAAATTATATGTAAAATATGTTCTAGATATGCACAGTTGTGAGTTGGGTTTTTTAGAAACATAAGTGGGACTCTATATATCTTGCTTCTCAGCTTGCTTTATTCTACCAGGTTGCCTTCCTCCCAGACATGTCCCAATCCCTATTGGAAGTCTCTCATTCTTTTAAAAAGGCTACATGTTACTTTGTAGTAAGGGTATACCATAATTTAAATATTTTCTTATTGATATTTCTCCAATTTCTTGGTTCATTACATATAATGCTTCTGTGATTGTCCTTGAAAAAACATTTTTGTTCCTGAGGAAGTATATTTGAGGAATGGAGTTGTAAAATTAGAATGTCCCAGACAAAACATGTATGCACATTTATAGTTTTTATAATATCTGATACATTTTTCTTCTGAAAGACCCACCACTTGAGTGGTGGGGATGTAGCTCAGTGGAAGAGCACTTGCCTAGCATGTGCAGGGCCCTGGGTTTGATCCGCAGGAGCCCCTCCCAAACTTGACTAAGACACTTTCTTCCCATTAGCTCTGTATAAGTGCCCATTTTCCTAAACATCTGCCAGCATAGTTGCTTGCAGTTTTTACTTAGTTCCTTGAAGGATGACAAATGGTATTTATCTCTAATCACTAATGATGTTAGTGTCTTTCTTTGAGAATTACTTGTTTGAATATTTTATTCATTTTTCTATCAGATTATGTGTACTTATTGATTTTTATTCTAGCATGGCCTCCCTTTTTGAACGGTCAAATAAATATTCAAAATTCTCTCTCTAAAAGTTTTTTGGTTGCAAGTAGTGGATGTTAGATATTTTTATTTCTTTTATCCAATGGGAGAGAAATAAGATAGTTTTTAATGTTTTCTAGAATTTTATGGGTAATTTATTTTGAAAGAGAATATTTCTTTACATGTTTCAGTACATAAAATGTAGTGAATGTTTCAGTACATAAAAATTGTACATATTATGGGTTACCATGTGATGTTTTGTATATGTATATGTTGTGCAATATTCAAATCAGAGTAAACACATTTATCTCCTTAAACATTTACCATTCTTTAAGCAAAAATATGCAAAATGCTTTCTTCTAGGTTTTTTGAAATATAGCATGTTATTATCTATAGTCATCTTAATGTTCAATAGAACAATAATTTATTTCTCCTGTTTCAACTGTAGCAGTACCCATTGACCAATTGGAAAGATATCTCATAAAACGGTGGCAGTAGCAGAGGTGGTAAATTAGGAAGTTTGATAAATTTGTAGTTTTTATAATGTTTGTTTCAACTATTGAACATTCTTATGCTAAAAATTACACCCCTTTTCTAATGCTAGAGAAAAGTTTTGAAATGAACACTGATTTAAGGAAGAATAAAGAAGATATTTTCGAATCATAAAAATATTGATAGTGCATGTTTCATAACATGTAGATTAGTTATTAAATAATAGCTAAAGTACCATTTAAAATGATATATTTGGATACACTCACTATGTTAAAAAAGCTCATTAGCATTGTGAATACAAGATGAATACCACCTACTGATCGTAATCTGTGATGAGATGCAAGTCTCCGGCATCTTTGGCCTAAGTATCACAGGAGTGGAACCTTTCTGTCACGAGGCACACAGTTTTGATTTTTCCCATTACTGATGGTTCTTACTTTGATCACTTAATTAACTGTTGGCTTTCTCAGAGCTCCTCTTCTCCTTTGTCATTAGTAAGTATTTTAGGGAGGGTACTTTGAGGTGACGACTCTCCTGTTGCCAGTCACTGTTGACTTGATTTTGTGAGTTGGTGTGGATTCGTGATACCTTTCATATTAAATGGATTGTAATCCATTTCTGTAATTTATTTTTAAGTTGTCCTAGATTTTGTGCTTGGAAATCTCTTGAAGCTGGCTGTGTCCTTTTCACATGTTCCTGTCATTCTTGGAGCCGTTCTTAGTTTTTTTGAAAACAAGGCTCCTCTTCACTTTCCCTGCCTTAGTTGTGGGTCATTTCTTCTAGGGGCTATGAAACGTCTTTGAACAGAGCGTGGTTTTTAGAAGCAAGATCTTTCTCATTTTTAGTGGGGTGTTGCTGTTATTTACACCTGTTAGTGAACATGTGTGCGCGCGCACACACACACACAGAGATAGATTTACAACTCTGTTTATTTTTATATTTGTTTATGTTGAAAACCATTCCTCCACTTCTCATCGCGCCTCCAGGGTTCCTTCAGATTCTCTTCCTTTGCGCATCATGCAACAGTGAGAGACTTGACCCCATTGTCCTTTTATATACTATTGACTAACCCTTCTCCCCTCTTTCTGGGCCATCTTCCGAGTGGAGGTCCTCCTCCCGCTCCTGTTCCCACATCCCGTCCTCCCTGGCAGCCCTCATGCCTCTCAGGTTTGGTGCCTTCCTCTGGATGCTGACACACAGCACCCTGCCCTTTGTGTGCACCTGCTCTTTTGGAGAACACTGCCGGGACTTTTCCTCCTCTTGGGTCCAAGAGCTTGAGCTGCATGGCTTCTCCTTGCAATTGTGCCTCCTTCCACTTGGGTTCCACACCCTGCCCCTGGCCTCTTTCCTGTAAGTGTGTCCTTCTCTTCCTGCTCTGGATCTGATATGCTGAGCTGCTGCCTCTGGCCATAAGCCTGTCCACACAACAGGATTCTAAACCTACCCTTTGAAGTTGTGACATTCCATACTGGGCCACTGAGTCTCCCTCTCTTCCCCACGAATAGATGTGTGCTTTACTCCTCTCCACTTACAGCTTTTAGACTGAATCGTCCAGGAAGGGTAAAGAGGAAGCAAACATTCCTTTTCTATTCACATCTGTTCCTTGAAGATTGTGCAGTGGGTCCTTGTATCAGGCTCCAGTTGTTCTTCCTAGACAGCTGTTGGTGACTGAGCACATAGGAAGTGAGTCAGCACATCATGGCAGAAGGATGTGGCGGAGAAAAGCAGCTCAGGAATGGCCACTAGGAAGCAGAGCTCTCTGGATACTCCTTATACCAGAATATGCTCCTCTGCTTAAGGGCCTTTAGGAACTTTGAGCCAATACTTAAAGTATTTTTTTTTTTTTTTAAGTATTAAGTCTTTTATTTGTTGATTTCTCTTAAAGGCTTTGCATTAATCTAGTATTTGGGGAAAAGTTGGTTAAACTGCGATACTGCAGTTTTCTATCTCTGCAGCTTGGACACTGTTCCTTTTGGCTGTGAGTTGGTGTAGCAAGATGTAGTGGTGAGTTTGGATGAGGACTTGGATCTGGATAGATCACCACTTCTTGGGTTTGATTAGAAACAAATGCCCTTTTTTTATGTAGAGACCTGATTGCCAAGACACGTTCCTCATTGAACACCCCCTAGGGGTCTGTGCGTTTTTCCTCCTTGAGGTGTGCTGGCTAGGCAGTCTTCAGGATGTTAAAAGTAAGTACGAGAGGTTTATTTCATAATATCCAACCATCATAAAAGTGTTTGTTTCCTCTTCCTCTACCCTTCCTGGATAATTCAGTCTAAAAGCTGTAAGTGGAGAGGAATAAAGCACACATCTATTCATGAGAAGAGAGGGAGACTCAGTGGCCCAATATGGAATATATAAAAATATATAATATTTGTAGCTTGTTTTTAAAATATCTTCTCACTTTTTATGGGGAAAAGGCACACTCATACATTGCTGGTGGGACTGCAAATTGGTGCAGCCAATATGGAAAGCAGTATGGAGGTTCCTTGGAAAACTTGGAATGGAACCACCATCTGACCCAGCTATTCCTCTCCTCAGTGTATACTTAAAGGACTTAAAAACAGCGTAATACAGGGACACAGCCACATCAATGTTTATAGCAGAACAATTCACAATAGCTAAACTGTGGAACCAACCTAGCTGCCCTTCAGTAGATGAATGGATTAAAAAAATGTGGCATATATACACAATGGAATATTAGCAATAAAAGAGAATATCAGCAATAAAAGAGAATAAAATCATGGCATTTGCAGGTGAATGGGTGCAATTGGAGAAGGTAATGCTAAGTGAAGTTAGCCAATTCCCCCCCGCCAAAAAAAAAAACAAACAAACAAATGGTGAATGTTTTCTCTGATATAAGGTGACTGACTCATAGAGGGATAGGGAGAGGGAGCATGGGAGGAATAGACGAACTCTAGATAGGGCAGAGAAGTGGGAGGGGAAGGGAGGGGGCAGGGGGTTAGCAATGATGGAGGAATGTGATGGACATCATTATCCAAAGTACATGTATGAAGACATGAATTGGTGTCAACATACTTTATATACAAACAGAGATATGAAAAATTGTGTTCTATATGTGTAATAAGAATTGTGATGTATTCCACTGTCATATATTGAAAAAATAAAAGCAATTAAATAAATAAATATATATATATATATATGTGTATATATATATGTATGTGTGTGTGTGTGTGTGTGTATATATATATATTCATATTCTGGGTGAATGTTTTCTTCTGAAAAAAAAATCTTCTTCTCCCTTTAAATTTGTTTTATTTTTGTTTAAAAAAGTAAAAAGAATGAAAGCAAAAAATGAATCACCAAATTTTAAGGTACTGGTTGACAGACTTTTTTAAAGCTTTGAAAAATATGAAAGCGTATTTTACTCATCTTTACACTGTAGAATATAAAGGATTATTAAAAAATGAAAACAGTCTTAATCTTCTGTAGCTTTTTTGCCCTTTAATTTTTATACCACTGTTATTAGAAAGCTTTTTGTTATTGAGGTCTTATGTTTTGAAGAAGTGTTTAATTTGTCTCTGTAAGTCATACTACGATTTGGGCAATGTGGAATATGGAACATTATAGTCTGTTGTGGATAATATCTGGCAGTGTTGTCTCTTCCAGTTTTTAACTTACCCTGTAATCATCCAAAATTGAGTTGTGAATAAGCAGAAAATATGTTTAAAAGATTAAAAGTCAGCTAGGGTGAATTTCAATGAAAATATTGTCATCACACATTCTTCTGCATCCAGGAAAAATCTACTATTTTTCTATTTTTTATATCACCCATTTCTATTACTCTTAAAGGATTATTAACTGTGCAGTCTCCTTATGATTAAATCTAGTTTTTCCCCCTTTTCTGGTTTATTATAATTTTGTTACAAGTAGGTTGGTTTAATCATGTTGTTACTGTATTAATGGCTTTTTTGAATCATAAGAGCTTTACTTCTTTTTAAATAAATTTTTTTTAGATGTTGATGGATCTTTATTTTATTCATTTATTTATATACAGTGCTGAGAATCAAACCCAGTGCCTCACACATGCTAGGCAAGTGCTCTACCACTGAGCCACAACCCTAACCCCTTTTAATTCTTTCTTGTAATCCAAATATTCTCATCCTGCTTGTGTGTGTGTGTGTGTGTGTGTGTGTGTATGTATGTATGTAATATACACACATTTGTCACATCTGATGACAATTTGACAGTATATTGTAGTTTATCCTAAGCATCTGATATCAGGAGATCTGCTTATTGTTCAGATTCTATCCAGAGTGAATTTGAACTGGGAAGATGATTTCCCCACGGAATAATGAATACACAGAAATGATGGCAATTAAGAGGAATTTATCTAACTTAATATACAAATATAATTATTATTAAGTGGCGGCTTTTGAGACAGAGTGGGTGAATTTGTTTACATGATTAACATGTACTCCTTTCTTATTGTTAATATAGATATTTCTTATTAGATTTAAAAATAATCATGTCTCTCTTAGTCTGCACTCATATTTAGAATGCTAAAATCAGGATGTTACAAATTTGATGTCTTATATATTTCAGACAGAAATATAGATTGTTGTTTATTGTATTTTCACATTCTCATTATTTAAAGAAACAAATTGATTTAATATTAAATTCACCTCCGCCCTTACATGATTCTCTGGGAATTTTAAAATTTTGATTCTAAATTTAACCTTTGACCTCTTTTAGGCCTTTAAATGCTATTCTGGAAAAACTTCAGTAATGGATCAAAGGAAAAATGACAGTATTGTTCCTAGTATCACTCAATTAGAAGATTTTCTTACAGAACACAATTCCAATGTCGTTTGGCTCCTTGTTGGTAAGTAAAATGTATTTTCCTGTGCTTCATTGTGTTTTACATATGGTTTAAGGACTGCTAGGTTGTAAGCAGTGGTTAACTGAAGTTGCGATACTTAGAATACCATTTATTTATTTTAAGTAAAGATTTTAATCTCTCTGTGTTTCTTGAGTATTTACTCTGGAAGCCTCTTTGGAAAACACTGTACTTTTTCTCAGGCTCCACCTTATCTTAGGCAGGGGTGATGGGAGGAGGAAAAAGACATTGCACTTGAGGTCCTTTTCCTATTTAAGATCACCTTCCTTGGGCTGGGGTTGTGATAGAGTGCTTGCCTAGCACGTGTGAGGCGCTGGGTTCGATTCTCAGCATCACATAAAAATAAACAAGTAAAATAAAAGTATTAAAAAAAAAAGGTCACCTTCCTTACCTGTACTCAACAGAAACAAATGAACACTTTCATTTGTTTAAATATAGAAGTAATAAATCCTCATAGTCAGTCTGTTTTTATAGTAGAATAGAATGTATATGCCTGATTCATCTTTTAATATGTATTCTCACTCCTGTGTACCTGGTAGTGGGCTCTGCTATTTGTAATTTTTGTATAATATCCTAGATGTTTTCTAGGTGCATGCAAATAGTTCAAAACAGCATATAACTAAATGGCAGGAGAGCAGAGGGTGGGGAATACGAGTGAATGAATATGAACGAATGAGAGGAAGAAATAGAGAAATAATAGCAGGAAAGGGAGCAATTACCATAGGCTGTTATTGCCCAGGAAATTTTCATGAAAGTGTTATATTTGATTTGAACTTTGGCTCAGGAACTGGAATGCTAGAGAGGAAAGCAGGAAGGGTGAGGTAGGAGAGTGAGAGTGGTGACATTGTTGGTCATCTGTGTGCCTGATGGCACAGCTTGTTACAGTTGTGTGAAGGTAGGTTTTTTTTTTTTCTTTAAGTTTGTTGGGCACTTGAGGCCTGCAGATGTTAAACTACCCAGCTGTCTTTCTCTGAGGACAGCACAAGGGGTGGGGCTGGGCTATGGGCCAGGCTACAGTGAATGTAGAAGAATTTAAAATACTTAATGATTTATAAACACTTTGTGGTAATCGAGTTACCATTTTCTGTTTGATGGAGCTGAACTCCTATAAATTATTAAAGGAAGTTAAAAAAGTAAAATGAAATAACAAATAATAGAATGGACGAGAACTTCATAAAAGGTGTTGGAGGTTACCTTCTGGTTTAATTAAGGACAGAATTCTTCCTTAATTCTCATGTGTCCCCTTTCTATTACTGAGGATTTCTGACTTTATTCTGTTCTACACCAACTTTCTTTAAGGACAAAACAACAATAGCAATAAATAAAATCATTGAGTTAATTATTTTTTTAATTCCCTCTGATTTACTAGGGGACTTATGATGTTCAAAGTGTGGTTGAGGTCATGCTAAAGCGAAAAGGCCACAAGATATGTAGTATTAAAAGCATATTTCTCAGCAGATGCCTTCTGTATTTCTGAAGGGCCCATAACAACCTGCTGCCGAAACAGTGATTTATAGTAAAAATTTGTACAAAATAACTTTAAACTTACAACCCAGTGTCATAGCATCAAAATAACTTTTTAATAAGAGTTTTTAGAAATAATCTTTTGGGCAGATTATAGTAACTTCCTACAAAAAAATTGTTACCCTGAGAATTATTACATTTTATTATGACTCTCTCTTGACTGTTTTTTCACATACCTTTTAAAAAGTTAGGAACTTCAAGTGATATTGCTAAAAGGTTACACATGTGAACCTTAAATTATTTTTTCCCAAATACAGAAGATAGTTACATACTTTTAGAAAGGACAAATAAAGGAATATTTATTATGGAAAGAAAATGCTTTTTTGTGCTATGCTTTTTTTATATTCATGTATATTTTTGTATACTCATGATTTCATTTTTGGGGGGAATACAGATTTTATAGGTGACTAAACTTTTTATTAAAAAAAACTAGTCAAATTTGAATATCATTTACTGTAGCATATTTGATAGTATCCATCAAAAGTGGGTTACTGTTACAGCAAAAATTACTGCAAAATATTTAGTATAAGCTGATCTGTTGATAAGTGTGCCTTTAGATGAAAATTCTGACTTTTCTGATTTTTTTCAAGCAGAGATTGTTGACTTAAAAAAACTGACTTGTCTCTGATTTAAAAATATCTTCAGTTTTCATTGTTTTTCAAGTGATTGTAGCCTGTTTTGGGAAATAGCTTAGGAATAAAATTATGTGTGAGCATTTTGCTAATAGAGGTGGATATTTTTCCAGTTGTTCACAAATATGGGCTTTCTTTTCCCAGAACTCATTACATGTTTAGCAACTAAAACATACAAAGCAATGAAAAAGTACACAGGTAAGAAGAAAAAAAAAAAGAAAGTTATACTTGAACATGATTTAACTGAACTGATTGGGAATGTTTTTCTGGCTAATGACTGAAAAGATCTCTAGAGGAAGATTGGATAAGGTAGAATCAACCTCTAGTTATAAAATTCCAGGTACTAAATTTTAAGAGGACAAATTACCATATGGAAGTAAATCTTATCATTTTTTTCCCTCCCAACAGCTACTATTTTGTCCTGTGGATGGATCATTTATCTCACGTATTATAATTCTCGGAATGTTGGTCTTATTTTAACATTGGTTCTTAACAGATTGTACAAGAATGGCTATATCCATATTGGTAAGTTTGTCTAACACAGAATTGTTTTTCTTCCACATAAACTTAAGATGTGTATTATAAATCTATATTTTATAAACACATACCAGCTTAGCCTTTGTTTTGTGAGAGCTGAAACCGTCTTTAACGCTTTCTCTCTCATGCAGCATTCTATGACTAGTGATGAATTACCATTTGATTATTGTCTTTTACCCCATTCTTACTTTTTTATAGTGCTTCAATAGTAACTTTTTGACTTTTTTTTTTTTTTTACTTAGAAAAGATGCTTATTAAAAGTATTTTAAAAGTTTAGACACATATAAAACATGTAGGGTGTAGGGTGCATACATCTAATGTAGGTGTAGGGTGTAGGGTGCATACATCTAATTCCAGCAATGCCAGAGGCTGAGGCAGTAGGATTGGTAGTTTGAGGTCAGTCTGGGCAATTTGAGAAGATCCTGTCTCAAAATAAAATACAAAAAGGACTGGGCACTTGCTTAGCATGCTCAAGGGCCCCGGGTTCAATTCCTAGTATCATAGAATTTCTTAGAGAAGTCTACCTTCCATATTAAATTTTGGATGTTCAAAGTTGTAGTTATTTTTTTTTTTTTAACATCTGTAAGTTGAGATCATCCTGTGTATTTCACTTTGTGCCCTGCTTTATTAGCTTAATTTCTGGTTATTTAATGGTAGAAAGTTTGCAGGTAGATAGAAGAATGTATTTGGGAAAGTGGGACGAGGGCTGACTGGATAGAACCATTCTCATCTTCCTTATATTTGAATACCTTAGTGGACATAAGTAAAACTTCTCTCAAACATAAGTCATCTTCCATTAATTTGGTTAATGCAGTGATTGAAATTGATGGATGGTGAATTGGTTACTGCTTTGATTTTAATGGCTGAGTATATATACTTAAGGGAATTAGCCACATAAATTTCCTACTTAAACCAATATTCTCATGTAGTGGTTAGTTGCTCAGTACATAGTGATTACACATATGACATTTTTTGTTAAAATGGTCAAAAAATAATGGAAGTCAAGACCTAAAAATTAGACAAATTAGAAACCCTGCAACTGCTAGAAGAAAAAGTAGGTCCAACACTCCAATATTTCAGCACAGAAATGACAGGCATGAAGCAACTCAGATCCTGTCTCTAAATACAATACAAATAGGGCTTGGGATGTAGCTCAGTGATCAAGTGCCCCTGAGTTCAATCCCCTACTTCCCCCATCCCTACCCCAAAAAAGCTTCTGCAAGCAAAGGAAACAAGCATGAAGAGAGAGCCTACAGAATGGAGAGCATCTTTGCCACCTGCTTCTAAGATAGGGCAATTAATATTCTGAATATACAAAGAACTAAGAAAACTTAGCACCAAAAACAAAGCAAAAAACAAAACAAAACAACAAAACCCACAAATAAGCCAATTAATAAGCGGGCAAAATAATTAAATAGACATTTCTCAAAAGAACAAATAAAATTGGCCAAAAAATGTTAAAAAATATTCAACATCTCTTGCTAGAGAGCAATCAGGGAAATGCAAATCAAAATTACACTTAGATTTTATCTTACTCCAGTCAGAATGGCAATTATCAAGAATATGAACAGTAAATGCTGATGAGGTTGTCGGGGAAAGGTACACTCAAGATGTTACTGGTGCACCTGCAAATTAGTACAATAACTCTGGAAAGTAGAATGAAAATTCCTCAGAAAACTACAAATGGAACCATCATGTGATTCAGCTATCTCACTCCTCAATTTATATCCAAAAGATTTAAAATCAGCATATTACAGTGATGCAGCCACATCAATGTTTATAGCAGCACAATTCATAAAAGCCAAGCCATAGAGTCAACCTGGTGCCCTTCAGCAGATGAATGGATAAAGAAGAGGTGGTCTGTACACACTTTGGAGTATTTCTCAGCTATAAAGAAGAAGGACATTATAGGACTTGCTGATAAATGGATGGAACTGGAGACTATCATGCTAAATGAAACAAGCCAGTTCCCAAAAGTCAGAGGGTGATTGTTTTCTCTGATATGTGGAAGCTAATCCAAAATAAGGGGAGAATGCGGCAACAATAACAAATAAGTAAAACGGGACAAAAAGGGGAAGAGGGAATTTCATCAAAATAGAGGAAGGTTCAGGAGAGTAGATGAAGGGGATTGAGGAGGAGAAAGAAGGGACAGGAAAAGGGAAGAACAGGGCATGAATCTGACCGACATTTCTAATATGCATACATGGATGTGGCATGGTGGGTCCCAGCATCAGTGTATCCATAGGACACTAATAAAAGGAAAAAGAAGTAAACTTTACTTAAAATTAAGTAAAGATTGAATTGACTGAATTGGGATTGATGGAGTGTGGAGGGTGGGTGCTGGGGACTGAACTGGAGCAGGGTGGACTCCATGCTGTTGTGATTATGTCAGGGTGTGTCCTAGTGTTGTATATTACTAATAATAAAACTGGAAAATCTGTAATACTATAAGGATAGGAATGGAGTGTGAAGAGATTAATTATCCATTAAATTGAATGCTTAAGATTTTAAGCTTTAGGTGCTTTATCATATATAAGAATTACAATATAAAATAATCAATTACTGTTATTCTTCTCTCCTACAACAGGATCCTTCTCTTTCTCTGTTCTTTCTGGAAAAGTCATGGTTCGTGAAATCTATTACATCACAGAAGACATGTCTATTAGGTAACACCATTTAAAAAGGACTCAAAACATGAAATATTGTAAAAATGTTCTGTTTACGATGTTTTATTTAATATGACTTCTTCAAGTAAGCCAAAGGTTAAAATCATTTTCTTGAGTTAGGTGTGGTGGAATGTGCCTGTAGTCCCAGCTGTTCAGAAGGCTGAGGTAGGAGGATCATTTGAGCCCAGGAGATTGAGAGCAGCCAGTGCAATACAGAGACCCCATCTCAAAAAAAAATCATACTTGGTGAATGGATCTTTTAAAATGGTTCTGTCCTTGGATTAATTTAGCTATATTTTTTTTAGAGACAGGGTCTCCCTGAGTTGCTTAGGGCCTTGCTAAGTTGCTGAGGCTGGCTTTGAACTCACTGTCCTCCTGACTCAGCTTCTGGAGCCACTGGGATCACAGGTGTGCGCCACCACACCTGGCTGCCTAACCATTTCTGATGTAGAATTCCTGGTGGTTATTTGTAATAAAATACAGAGTTCAGAGATGTTGACCATCCATTATCAACATTGGTCATTAAAGTCTCATCCATTTTTAGCTCCTCTTTAAAGATAAGCTCATAGAATTATTTAGCATTTGTTAGCAACTCTAATTTTACTTTTAAGAAATACAAATCCGAATGTAATAGGAAATTGTAATGTTTGCAATCTCCTCTTCCATAAGCCTTGAAGAAAGGCCTGCATCCTTTTTGTTCCTCTTAGTATTTGTTACTTAGATATTGAAAATTTGGCATTAATTGAGAGGTGCTAGGATTTGTCAGTACTCCTCTCCTGCCTCACTTAAAGCTGTAGGAAGCATCTTCTGTGCTATTCTAAAATATTTCCAAATTAGAAGAAAGAAAAGAAAAGGAAAGAGGTTATGAATACATGCTTTTGGAGCATGAGGTGATAGATCATTTATAGAAATGAAGAAGTATCTTTAAAAGTTTCCCTTTAGTGTGCTAATATCATATCCCCTTTTAAAATTTGGCTTATCTATTTAATTTTTATATTTAAAAAATATTATTTAAAATGCAATAATTTTTAGCACTTCATTTTCCTGTTACATATAATGTAATATTTACACTTTACCCAATTAGAACAGTTTCAAAATAATACATATGTGATAAATGTATACAATTTTTGTCAGTTAAGAATTTTCAAGAAGAATTCCCTCCCTAATTTAGAGCTACATATGTCTCTTTTCCTTTTTTAACTGGAAGGCTATAAAATATTTTGTTCAGAAAAAAAAATGTCTATTTATGTATGCTAGAACTCTTTTGAGAATTTTGTTTTTTCTTTGTTTTCAAAGTCTACCTAATTAAGAAATGAGTTAAGTAAATTGCTACTTCTCATTTTTGTAATATACCTTTCTTAGAATTCAAGATGGATTTATCATTTTTCGGTGGTGGAAAATGTATAACCCCAAGCAGAAACAACATGGTAAGTGTTCATTTTTTCCAATGTTTAAAATTTTCAGTCACAGCAAAATTTTCATTTACAGATATTTAAATGTTGCACATCTTATAATGGATGTTTATAAGAGCAGCAATGTTTAGAGAACTCAGTTTTACCTCTGATTCATTGAAAATTTGTCCGTAGCTTTCCTGCCGCCTGCTTATGTCCAGTAACTTCAACCTGCTGTTCCTGCAGCGTTACCCTCCACCCACGCGTCTAGCCTTCCCTCCTGTTCTGTCTGTGGACCTAGTGCGCCTTGACACCATCCCCTCAGCTCCTGTGGCTTTGCTCATTCTACGCCACCTGCCACTGGTTCTGACTCCTCAGTGAGCCCACGGTGAAGAGAGGGGCAGTGCAGGCCCCAGGCTGCACTGGGCTTGCTCTCGCCATCAGAGTTTGCTTCCAAGCCATCTTTTGTGGTTCTGGAACAGCTCCTGTCTTTGCCCCAAGCCTCTTTCTACATTAACTGTACAAGTGGCTTTAAGGAGAGTAGGCCCTGTCTTTATTTTCTAGAATTGTGCTTCTCAGACTTTCGATCTCAGAAACCCTTTACATTCATCTAAATAATTGAGGATTCCAAAGCACTTAACTTATGTGAGTTCTGTCTGTCTTATTTACTGCATTAAAAATTAAGCTGATTATTTTAGAAATACTTTTTATTAATTGAGAATATTGATAATTCATTATATATTAAAAACACAATTTATGAAAATAACTTCCAAAACCAAAAAAAAAAAAAATTTAATAGCATTGTTTTATGCTTTTCAGATATTTCTCCTGTATTTAGTACTAGGAATTGAACTCATGGCCTCATGTATGCTAGGCAGGTACTCTACCACTGAGCTACATCCTCAGCCATTTTTTAAATATTTAAATTTTGAAACAGGGTCTTACTAAGTTGCTGAGACCTGCATTGAACTATGATTCTCCTGCCTCAGCCTCCCAAGTAGCTGGGATTACAAATGTGCCTGTACTTGTCTCTCTAATGTTCCACTGAATAGAAGACAACTGGAATTTCACCTCTGCATCTGTATCCATCTGTTGAAGTGCCATCTGTCCTATACCCTTTGAAAAAATTCCACTATCCATTCATGGGATAGTCAAATCTTGATAATATTATGGATATAGTTTGAACACTTTGGACCTCTGGAAAGGGGTCTGGGGATTCCACCAAAGGCCTCATACTTTTGAGAACTAATATTCTCGAAAATTGTAGGTGGGGCCTCATAGCATAGGGTCTGAAAAGGATACTAAAAAGATTTTTAACAAAATCTGCCTTTTGTTTGTTACCAGGATCATCTGTGTTTCTTGCACTTGATCATGTTGAGATTCTGAATCCATTTTTTCCCTCCCTGTGGTTCTGGGGATCAAACCAGGGCCTGGTGCATACTAGGCAGGTGCTTTACCATGGAACTCTGCCTCCATGTCAGGATTCTGAAATGAGGGTTAGATTCTCCATGTCATTTTGGAACTTTCCAATTAAATGTTGATTTTTTGGTTTTTGGTGGGCTCACCTAGGCATTTTACCATCATTTATAACTTTATTTCTACAATAAAATAGGTTTAAAATAGTAAAAGGTTATGTGCTTTTCACAAGTTTGAGCCAGCCTAAATTCCTCTAGATTTCACTGTTTGTCCTTTTGACATTACTCCCTTCCCCATGTGACTCCTGCACCCCCTTATATAGTGTGTGTGTGTGTATATATGATACACTCTTTCTTGATGAGGTTGGCATGAAGGGTTGGTGTTTGGCATCTGTAGAATTAAGGAAATCACAATGATTAGAAATTAGAATAATGGGCAGGCATCACGTTTGGGAAAAGTTTTTAACAGCTGGAGTTGTTCATTAGATAAGTTTGAACTGATATTTAAGTTTTATCCTATGGAAAAGTATTGTGAGGGCGTTTGAAATGGCCTTTTGCAGTTTCCCATCTGTCTTTTAGAATGCTGTCTGTAATCAGAAGTCTTTAGACTGGGATTTGAGAATATCTGTTATTCAAGTAGCATTATAACCACGTCTTCATAATTGCTGCAAACATTCTCAGGGGGAAAAATTGTTCTTTTTGTCAATATGTTTGTGTACTGGGAATCTTAAGTTTTGCCTTTTTATAAATATGAATAACATTCTAAATGTTGACACATTTTTCTACGTTATTATCCATGCAAGTTTTGTGGAGAAAATATTCTTGATTGTTTTTGTATTTTATTTGGCTGTAAGCCATAAAGGTAGCATTTAAGTAAAGGTATGCTACAGATTTGCTTATAATGCATAGGTGGTTAAAAGTCTTTCCTAGGAGCCAAGTCTGTTGTTTGATTCGTCCCAACTTTTGATCCATCCACTTGATAGTGAGCTGACCTAGTGTGTCTACCTCTGATGCAGTTTGTAAAGTCTATCTACTTTGTTCCTTAGAAATGGGTTTACTTTAGGATTGTATTTTTCTGTTAATCTTGCAGTACATTGGTTATATAATTTGCTCTTTTGACTTAAACTTCTTGTTTTTATGTTTCATTAACATAAGCTATGTTGTTAACAGATTACAGTGTAGCTGAACAAAAATCCTCTTTGTTTATATAACTGGTTTATGATTTTAAAAGAAAAATGTAACTTCTTGCATATTAGGAGTTTTATGTTAAATTATTTTCAGTGTTCATGTGAAAGAAGAAAGCTTTAGAGGAATGAGGAAGTTGGGAAGTAGAGGAAGAGGCCCGCTGGGCCTGCTGTCTCCCCATGCACTGTTTATCCCAGGATTCCAGAGAACACAGTTTCAAAAACACTTGATTTTAAAGCCTCTTGTCAGTTTGGAAATTGCATAATGGTTTCAAAACCCCTTGTTTTGCAGATTAAGAAGTAGAAATTCCTGTGATTATAAATTGTAGTGCTAGAATAAAAACCTTGTTCTGCTCACTTTGAGTCTAATTCTCCTTATATTATTAAGATGTGTGTGTGTGTGTGTGTGTGTGTGTTTTGTGGTGCTAGGGATCTTGTTATACACCAGCCACAAAAACATTCTTGCCAATAAGGTCTAAGTAGGTTTGGAAATTCTCATCACAAACAGCGATTATAATGTATGAGAGGAATGAAGACATTCACATTATCCAGAGGCCACTGAAAGTTTGAAGGATAAGCTTAATGGGATTGCTTGCTATAGAGTTTTCATAGCTAACACATAACAAATCTCTGTTTTTCTTTTTTGTGTTTTTGGTGGTGCTGGGCATTGAATCCAGAGCCTTTCTGCTGGAAAGTGGTTCTTTTTCAGCCCTGAGAACTACAATCTTATATCATTTACAAATATTTTTTAAAGAAAGGAGTTAACCTCATTTTATCATGAAGTGTTACATCTTCTTAGAGGGGATTGCTCTTTATCAGAATATGTGAATGAGGTCAAGAGTAATTGACTGAAGTTCTTTATAAAAGAGAGTTTTTGACAAAAATCTTTAATAGATATTTATTTTGTTTTCATTTTATTGATTATTCTCTTATGTTGAGGGAAGAATTAAAAAATAGGAATGAGAAAGTGGGTGCTGCTCAGATCTGTTTGGAGTAGATATCCCTAAACAACCATAATTAAAGGGGAGTGGAGTGGGAGTCTGGGTGGAGGAACATCACTGATCATTATCTTAAACATTTCCAGCTTTGAGTTGTCACACAAGGTTGTGGCAGGGGGCAGAGTGGGAGGTAGAAGGCTGTTGTGAGTGCCCGTGTCTAGCAGCATGATGGTGTTGGCAGTGAGGAGGGAGCACCAGACCAGTGTGGTGGCAGGGAAGCGCAGGTGCAATCGCTGGTGTGACTTGTGGTGCTTAGGAATGAATCAGCATGTGATTGACCGTGGTGCTGAAGGAGCAATAGAGAAGGGTTTTGAAGAATGTCTTGCGGCAGGCAGGTGCTTAGCTCCTTTCAGAAGTCATGGCAAAGCGCAGTCACAGCTTCCAGTCACACACTGGGGCTTAGTCCCGAGAGGAGAGCTCGGCTACCGCCCTCCTGGCCTGGCTGCTCCCACCCTCCTGGCCTGCTGTTGGCGTTTCTTTTCAGTGTCTTCAGTTCTTTTTGTTACTCTTTTAATGTTAGCATAGCTTTGAAGTTTTGAATCTTTCTGTTCTCTGTTATTGTCCATAATTCAGGGCAGAAATGTAAGTTTTTAACATTTTTATGTTTTTAAAGAATTTTTAAATTGTTTTGATTTGATTGTTATTTTTCTGTTTACCAGTGGTTTCCAGTGGTGTCTATTTTACAGTGATGTTAGGGGTTGACCGGCTCTGTCAGCTGTCCCTTTCTTAGCTGCAAATTACTTGTCATAGTCTTACCCATTTCGTAACATTAAGTCGTGTGTACATCAAAAGTAGCAGAGCTGTGATGGAAACAGTCAAACAAGTTTTTCCTTTAAGTTTTTCTTTATTGTGTGTTGACAGATTCTTATTGTATGTATTTATAAGGTACAAAATGATCTTATTAACTTTGAATACAATGTGGAATGATAAAATTAAGCTAATTAACTTAAACATTTAATATTTTGTGGCAAGAGTATTTGAAACTTATTCATAGCAGTTCTGAAATGTACATTACTCAGTGTTTAATTGTACTCACCACACAATGCAATTTATCTTAAAAAAAATCAATCTTATTCCTTCTGCATAACTGAGGCTCTGTATTTGTCATCTTGTACCCGCCCCCACTGCCCAGTCTCTGGTAACCAACATTCTGCTTTCTACTTCTTTGAGTTCAGTTCTAGATTTCACATAGAAGTGAGAACAGACAGTATTTGCTTCTCTTTGTTGGTGTATTCACTTAGCATGTTCTCCATTTCCACCCATGGCTGTCACAAATGACAGAATTTTTTCCTTTTTTAAGGCTGGCTAGTATTCCATTGTATGTGTGTTCCACACCTTCTTCACTCATTCACCACCTGGTGGGTGGATAGATCATTTCCACATCTTGGTTGTTGTGGATGGTGCTGCAGTGAGGGTAGGAGCACAGACATCTCTCTGAT